AGGTCATGATCCTGGAGTCCCGGGATCGAGTCCCGCATTGGGCTACCCGCTCAGCGGGGAGCCTGCTTCTCCCTCTAACCTTCCCCCCTCTCATGTACTCTCTCTCTCTCTCATTCTCACTCTCTCAAAATAAATAAATAAATCTTAAAAAAAAAAAAAGTGAAAGCAAAAGCGAGCCTCTGGGGCTGGGATCCCACTTGGAGGGACACCTGGCTCTGATGTTGGGGCCAAGGGGTCTGCTTACTGGTGGTCAGCATGGAGGGCCCCTGGGTGGGGCTGAGGGAAGAGCCCCGACCCAGACCAAAGATGCCTCCACTCCAACCAAGGGGTCTCAAGCCTCAGAGCCCCCCAAAACACATACCCATCAAATCCCTCAGGGGTGCCACCTTAACTCACTGCTGGGCCATCCAAAGCCCCCAGCCCGGGAGGAACAGCCCTGTCCCCTGTGCCCTCCTCCCCGCACCTGGGCAGGAGGGACCCCCTAGTAAGAGGAGGGGAGGCAGACAGAAAGGCCACCAGCAGTGAGACCAGGCCCTTCTTCCTCACCAAGGCCTCCAGCCCAGTGAGGCCTGACCCGCAGCTCCCCTCCGACATCAAGTCAAGTTCAGAGACTTGAATATGATACTGACTTGGGCCTGAGTCCTGGGCAGACTTCTCAGCCAGGGGGTGGGGGGCGATTCCAGCAGAGAAGAAACGGGGCGGAAGGAGAAGCAAAGCTCTGTTTCGACTGACGCATAAACAACATGAATTTCTGCTTTACCCCCTAGGGTGGCGGCTAGGATGAACTGTGATACCAGCATGAACCAGATCTGTGGGAACGCAGAGGAAGCCCGTATTTCCACTGAGGAAGTTTGAGGGGGAGATTCTCAGCGCTGGGTGAAACAGACCAATCGGGATGACTGCTACCCGCTCTCGCTCTGGCTTGCTAAGCACCGCACACAAACTAGGTTAGTGAAATCTCACATCCAGCCTTTGAGGTCTGTGTTACCATCCCATTCTTCAACTGAGGTCTTCGAGAAGTGGTTTGCTCGAGGTCACACTCCCAGCAGGGGCTCTCAGCATCCTTGACACCTGCTGTCCTGCACACTCCCCTCCAGCTGCCTCCGCTGCAGGGTTGTGCTGGGCTTGTCTGCAGGGCAGGTCAGAAGGACTGTGGGGGAGGGGCGCCTGGGTGGCTCAGTTGGTTAAGTGACCGCCTTCGGCTCAGGTCATGATCCTGGAGTCCCAGGATCGAGTCCCATATCGGGCTCCCTGCTCAGCAGGGAGTCTGCTTCTCCCTCTGACCCTCGTGCTCTCTGTCTCTCATTCTCTCTCTCTCAAATGAATAAATAAATAAAATCTTTAAAAAAAAAAAGAAGAAGGACTGTGGGGGGGACCACGATGACATACGACCCGCTAGGATGGCAATAAGAGTTGTAATCATAAAACAGAAAATTGGCATTGACGCGGATGTGGAGAAACTGGAAGCCTTGCATGCTTGTACGGTGCTGGTAGGAATGTAAAATGGTACAGCTGCTGTGGTAAACAGTCTAGGACGCCGGGGTGGCTCAGTCCGTGAAGCATCTGCCTTCGGCTCAGGTCGTGATCCCGGGGTCCTGGGATCCAGTCCTGCATCAGGCTCCCTGCTCAGTGGGGAGCCTGCTTCTCCCTCTCCCTCTGCCTGCTTGTGCTCTCTCTCTCTATCTCCGTTAAATAAAAATCTTTGAAAAAACAGTCTAGCAGTTCCTCCAAAAGTTCCACTTGGAATTATCATATGACCCAGCAATTCTACTTCTAAGTGTATTCCCAAAAGAATTGAAAAAATGTTCATACCAATGCTTGTACATGAATGTGCAGGGCAGCATGACTCACCATGGCCAAAAGGAAGAAACACCCCAGATGTCCATCGACTGATGGATGGGTCAACAAAACGTCGTATCTTGTGGCAGGCAGAGGGAGAGGGAGAAGCAGGCTTTCTGCCAAGCAAGGAGCCCGACCCCAGGACCTTGGGATCATGACCCGAGCTGAAGGCAGACGCTTAAATGACAGAGCCACCCAGGCGCCCGTGGATGAACCTTTATGCGAAACATTCTAAACATTATGCTGAGGCAAAGAAGCCAGACACAAAAGGCCACAGATTGTGTGATTCCATTTTCAGGAAATGTCCAGAATGGGCAAACCCACCGAGACAGACAGTAGGTTAGGGGTTGCCAGGGGCTGAAGGGAAAGGGGATTGGAAGGTACCAGGTTTTTTGGGAGGGTGATGGAAATAGTCCAGAATCGAATAGTGGTGATGGTGGTACAAGATTATGAATCTACTAGAAAATTGTTAAAGGGCAAAATGTAAACTTTATAGGGACACCTGGGTGGCTCAGTTGGTTAAGCGTCTGCCCTCAGCTCAGGTCATGATCCAGGAGTCCTGGGATCAAGCCCCACATCGGGCTCCTTGCTCAGCAGGGAGTCTGCTTCTCCCTCTGCCTGCCGCTTCCCTCTGCCTGCTTGTGCTCTCTCTCTCTCTCCGACAAATAAATAAAATCTTTAAGAAAATGTAAACTTTATATTATGTGAATTTGTCTCAATTAAACGTATATATATGCATGTAAACTGGCATAGTCCCTTTGAAAACCAGGACTGTGATTCCTCAAAAAATTAAAATTAGTACTACCGTATAATCCAGCAGTTTTACTTCTGGATATTCATCTGAGGGAAACAGAGTCACTATCTTGAAAAGGCATCCACACCCCCATGCTACTGCAGCATTAATTACCATACTCGAGACAGGGAAACCACCTAACTGTCCATCAGTGGTTGAATGGATATATACATACTCACAGTGGAAAGCTATTTGGCCATAAAAAAAGGAAGGAAAGCTTGGGGTGCCCATGTGGCTCAGGTCAGTTAAGCATCCAACTCTTGATCTCAGCTCAGGTCTCAGTCTCACGGTTGTGAGTTCAAGCCCTGTGTTGGGCTCCACACTGGATGTGGAGCCTACTTAAAAAAAAAAAAAAAGGAAATCTTGCCATTTGCTACAACATAGATGGACCTTGAGGTCATTACTAAGTAAAATAAATCAGACAGAGAATGACAAATACTGTATGATCTCACTCACATGTGGAATCTTAAATAAACAACAGCAACACTTGAATTTATAGTCACAGAGAACAGACTGGTGGTTGCTAGAGGCAGGGGGTGGGGAAATGGGTGAAGGGGGTCAAAGGCACAAACTTCCAGTTATAAGATAAATAGGTCCTGGGATGCACCTGGGTGGCTCAGTTGGTTAAGTGTCTGCCTTCAGCTCAGGTCATGAGCTCAGGGTCCTGGGATCGAGTTCCGCATCGGGCTCCCTGCTCAGTAGGGAGCCTGCTTCTCCCTCCCCCACTCCCCCTGCTTGTGCTCTCTCTCTCTCTCTCTCTCTAACAAACAAATAAATAAAATCTTAAAAAAAAAAAAAAAAAGATAACTAAGTCCTGGGAATGTAATGTACAGCCTGGTGACTAAAAATTTTTTAAATAAGGAAGTATAAATAAATATATATATGAAGTAATGAAGTATTGGGGAGCTGACAGTCCACCCAGCGAGGCACAGGATTGGCATAGAGTCTACCCACCTCCGAGAGTTCCTCCATGAGGCTGAACCTTAGTGACCCCAACGGGTAACTCTGCTAATGCACACCTTTACTGGTTGCCTTCCCTGACTCCCCCCACTCCAGGTGTTTCTTGAGATCACCGCTCAGATAAACTCCCTGAACACCAAATTTTGTTTCAGGGTCTACTTTTGGGGAGAACTTACACTAAAATAGCTGGTAAGTATCAGAGCCTGGATTCAAACCCTCATCTGCTCCTCATTCTGTTACAACCTTGCAGATGCAATGCTCTGAGAACCTTTTGTAGAAATGGTGGAAGGGAATTCTGGGCTAGAGGAACAGCCTGTTCCAAATGCTCAGAGACAAAAGAAGCGTACGGAAGCTGCCAGGAAGGGCAGGGTGGCCACACCAGAGCTCAGACTGAAGGGAGAGCAGGCACAATGCCACAAAGTGGGATGTGGATACTTCTGCCCTGTGTCCACGGCCTCTGGTCTGCAGTGGGCCCATTCGTTGCTCTGCCCAAGACTGCCTGGCACCCTGAAGGAAGCCCTGCCCTTCCTGGAAGCTTCGGTGAAGGGCTGGGGAGTCTCTGTTTTCCTTTTCCTCAAGGAAACACAAAGGGAATGTAAGACCAGGAGGTGGATGCTCCTCTTGCCAACCTTACTGCCCCATCTTCATCTCAGGAAATGGCTCTCCATCCTCCCAGGGGCTCAGACCAGGACCAACAAGCCCAGCGCAGGCCCCATCATGACTCACCTGGACTAGAGTAGTCACCTCCTCTGTGGCTTTCTGGCTTCCACCCTGTTCTCCCTGCCTCCAGAAAATAGCTCCTGCAGTCTCAGGAGGGTGCCTATAAACACCTGAGTCAGGCCTGTCCCTCCTCTGCTCAGGACCTTCCCTGGCTCCCACTTCACTGGGAGGAAAAACCAAAGTCCCCTGCAGGCCAACAAGCATGCTCTGCATCATCTCCTCCCTGCCCTCCTTTCCTTACTGCTCTCCAGCCACACTGGCCTCCTGGCTGTCCCTACCTCAGGGCCTTTGCACATTCAGAACTCTCTGCCTGGTACACTCCCTTCCTCGTATTGTCACAGCTCCCTCCTCACCTCCGGTGGTCTTTGCTCAAATGTCACCTTCTCAGTCTTTCTCAGAGTACTCTATTTAAAAGTTCACCAACCCTCACATTGCCTATTCCCTCCTCTGTTTTATTTCTCTTCAGCACTAATCACAAGCTAACACCCCATATATTTTAGTTCCTTGTCTGTCTCCCCCTCACACTAAAACCATCTCTGCACAATGGCGAAATTTTTGTCTTTTCTGATCGTTGCTGTGTCGCTAGCACACCTGGAAGGATTCTTGGTGTACAGCAGGCGCTCAATAAACACTGCCCAGCAAGTCGGGAGAAGCGAGAAAGATTGGCGCTTTTATGGCTACAAGGAAGACTTGGGCCGCGCGGGGGAGCTCGCGGCCTGCGCGCACTTTGGACTGAGGTCAAGGGACCCAAGGAAGAGATCCCGAGAAAAATCCGCCGAGAAAAATCCGCCGGGGGCACCGGGGTGGCTCCGTGGGTAGAGCGTCTGCCTTCCGCCCGGGTCGTGATCCCGGGGTCATGGGATCGGGATCGAGCCCCTCCCCCGCTCGGCGGGGAGTCCGCTTCTCCCTTTCCTTTCTCCTGCTCGTGGTCGCGCTCTCTCGCTGGCTCTTAAATACCTAAATACAGGGGCCCCTGGGTGGCTCAGTTGGTTGGACGACTGCCTTCGGCTCAGGTCATGATCCTGGAGTCCCGGGATCGAGTCCCACATCGGGCTCCCTGCTCGGCGGGGAGTCTGCTTCTCATCTGACCCTCCTCCCTCTCATGCTCTCTGTCTTTCATTCTCTCTCTCACAAATAAATAAAATCTTAAAAAAATAAAAAATAAAAAAAACACCTATATACATACATACATACATACATAACTAAATACATAAATAAAATCTTTAAAGAAAAAGGAAAATCCGCCGGAAAATACTCGGCTCCGACCCCGCACGGGATTTTCCCAGGCCCAGGGCGTCCCGGTTCCCATTCTGCACCTTTGCTCTGCACCTTTGCCCAGGCAGTTCTGGGCGGGAATTCAGCACCCACCACACCCGGCGTCGAAAGATCCCCGTGGAAATTCCTTGGGAATGATCGGGGCGGGGGAAGGGACGCGTTTCTGGCTGATGAGTGACTCTCAGGCCCATCCTCCGGAGGAAGGGCCCGAACGTCCCCGGGGCCCCCTCCCTTCCCCTTCTGCTGCGCGACCTCCCTGGCCCCTCCGAGGTCTCCATGGCGACGCGGCGCGCGCCCCACAACAGGAAGCCTTGGGCGGCGCGGACTGGCGCTGGGAGACCCCAGGGTCCCCAGCCTCGTCGTGGTAGATGCCAAGTCTTGGGGTCACACGCGCAGGCCGAGGCGGTCACAACGCTCCCCCCGCCCCGCCCTAATAGAATTAGCGGGTGCAAACATCTGCACGTAAACATCTGCACGTAGTCAGCGCTGGCGCCCAGCGCTCAAGTTTCAGGAACGGCGCGCGGCACTTGGAAATTGACGGCCTCCTCTCCCCGCCCCACTTGGGGGCCTAGGGAGCTGTTTCCCCGCGGAAAGGAAGGGTCCCAGCGCCCCCTCTCCATTCAAGGTTTGCTGCCTCAGTCTCCCCGAGGAGCCTGGGAACGCCAGCGGGGGACTCGGGGCGTCAGGACCACGCGGCTTCCTTCCTTTTTCTGGGAGCCGTGAAGATGTGTCCCCGCTGCGGAGGCCGAAAGGGGAAGCGAGGCCGCGGGGGTGGAAGCGCCCATAGGAGGGGGGGATGCAGGGCCCCGGACGTGATGACGCCGCTAGTCCTCCCACCCAGGTTTCGCTGCGCCAGAATGTGCCCGGGTCTGCTCCTGCCGCTTCTCGGGAAATCTGTCGGCTGGGCAGGGCCGTGCTCCTTGGGGAGGGGTGCCCTTGATGGAGAACGCCCCGTATGGACTCCAGCGCCGCTCCACGCGGCTAAAGAGGCCCGCAGCGCTGGGGCGTCACACTTGAGTCCGAATCCCCTCGCAGCTCGGAGCCTCGGTTTACCCCTCCGTGGAACGGACACAATAGCAGTCCCTACCGTCCAGGGTAGTTGGCAGTATTCAGTAAAGCGTTCAGCGCAGCGTAAACGCAGAACCACGGTCAGCCGGGCCCCGAGGACCGGACCATTAGAGCCAGGAGCGGCCCCCCGGACCCGCGGGGCCGCTGCGGCCCTCCTTGCTGCAACTCGGAAATTCCAGCGCTCGAGAGAGGGGACAACCCCACTTGGGCTCGGTACCCTCTCGGTCCGGAAATGCCGGAGCCCTCCTTCCGGAGGGGAAGGCGCGAGGTTTCCGGGAAAGCAGCCCCGCCCCTCTGTCCCCCCGTGCCCGGCCAGGCCACTATAAAAGCTCCCGCGCGCTCCAGTAGCCCAGTCCGCGCCGCACGCCTCTGCGCTTCTGCCGCGCTCTCTGCGCTCTCCGCCCTCCTCTGGCCGGCTATGGCTCCCGGCACCGCCTGTCCCGCGCTGCCCGCGCTCCTGGCCCTGATCGGAGCTCTGCTCCCAGGTGAGTCAGGTGTGGGGGCTGCCGTCGCGCCAACTCCCGGAATCCAGGCTGCGCCCTGCAGGCACTGGGAGGACCGACTCCCGACCAGCTGGGGATAAGCCGGCCAGCTGGGGATAAGCCCCAATCGTACTTAGGTAGCTCTTTATGGGAAGTTGGGGCTAGAGCCAAAGACAACAGCCGTGGGTTCGAATCCAGACCCTGCATCACCTCGATGAGTGGCCTCAAGCTACAGGTTGAGCCTCCCAGAGCCTCAGTTTCTCAGCCGTAAAATGGAGAACGCAAGAGCCGCCTCCTCGAAATGGTTGTGTCCTGGCCCAGTGCCACGCCTGGCTCCAGGACCCGGTCAGACGGTATGGGGATGGGTCTGGCGCCAAGCTGAGTAGGTTGGGGACCTCCCCCCAACACACACGTACATTCTGTTCCTCATCTCCTACCTCTGGGGAAGTCCGGGACTGCTTCTGCGCTGGGGGAATTCCAGGCCTGACTTGCCCAGGGACCAGAGGCTGAGAGTGGGCTGCCCCAGCACCCCTCCACCAACCCCAGTCTGGAGGGAGGGGAGAAAGGGAGACAGTGGGTCGCATACCACCGGTGTTGGGAAGCCCGATGGTGGGAAAGGGACACCTGTGCTTACCAGCTCAACAAAGTGTTCTAGTCCAGATGCCAATCTGGATTCTGTGGCTTTTTAGGTGAGTAACGTCACCTCTCCCGCCTCACCATTTCACTCCATGAAATGGGAACCATCCCATTACTCTCGGAGAATTCACAGAGCTGTTTTCCCACGCTTCCACCCCAGATAGAGTAGACCCAAAGCTGAGGACAGGAATCTTTGGAGGAGAGAGAGAAGGGGTGGGCCCAGACAGACTTTCTGCTTGGGAGACACCAGGGTTTGAGGAAGCTAACCACTACCACCCCCCTTCTTATCCCCTGCAGCACTCACTGCCTGCCCTATGCTGTGAGTCCATTGGATTAGCAGGGGCTGGGATGACTATATTCACCCACCTTACAGATGAGGAAATTGAGGCCTGGAGAGGGGAGACCACTTGCCAGAGGGAGTAAGGAGCCAGCTTAATTGGAATCTCTCCATTCCCGGAGGGCTAGCCCTTGCCACCTCACATCCTGGGAGGGAGAAGAACACTGACTTCATGTCCCTCCTCTGCTAAAATCCTCCATGGCTTCCCATTGCCTTCAGAATGAAGAACAAGACCTTGCATGGCCTGCACAGGCCACACGATCTTCCTGTCCTCCTTGCTCCCAGCTCTTCCCCCTTACTCGCTCTGCTCCAGCCACCCTGCCGCAGGGCCTTTGCACTTGTTCCTTTTGCACTTGGAAATTGACGGCCTCCTCTCCCCGCCCCACTTGGGGGCCTAGGGAGCTGTTTCCCCGCGGAAAGGAAGGGTCCCAGGGCTGGGGAGTCTGGAATTAATTTCTCTGTTCTCTGAATGGCCAGCCCCCTCTCATCATTCACACATTACCCTGTTGCCAAGGCACTGTCTGTTCTATCACCCTGTTTTGTTTTTGTCAAAGCTCATATTAACATCAGTTATTAATTATCTTGTTTGCCTGTGAATTTTTCTGTCTCCCACACTGAAGACAGAGTTTTTGTCTCATTCAATGCTATGTGCCCAGCACAGGCTGGGTACGTGGTAATTGTTGGTGAACCCAATTTGTAATGCCTGTCCCCTCCTCCATCTCTTGTTCTAGGACTTGGAGGTGCCCAAACATCAGTGCACCCCCCAGAAGCCATCATACCCCGAGGAGGCTCCGTGCAGGTGAACTGTAGTACTTCTTGTGACCAGCGCTCCATCTTGGGCCTGGAGACTCAGTTGACGAAGAAGGAAGTGGCCCATGGGGCCAACTGGAAGGTCTTTGAACTGAGTGATGTGCAAGAAGATAGCCATCCCATATGTTTTGCAAACTGTCAGAAACAGACGATGGCTTCAATGTCCCTCACCGTGTACTGTGAGTGGCTGGGCCCAGGGGCTGGACTAGGCAGGCTGGGTCGGGGAGGTGGGTACGTGGGGGTCGCCACAGGCCAGGACAGCCCTGGTGGCTCGGTGCTGGGGCCAGAGCTGACTCACCGAAGGACTGGTGGGCAGGCACATCTTCGGAGAGCCTCACTGTCCTCTGAAACCCCTTCTTCAATTTTCTTGGGTGCCTTTAGTGCAGTACAGAGATTCGGTACTTTCGAATACTCTAGGCCTCTTTAAACATGTGACAGATCCTAGATGTGACTTTTTTTTTTTTTTAAAGATTTTATTTATTTATTTATTTGAGAGAGAGAGAATGAGAGATAGAGAGCACAAGAGGGAAGAGGGTCAGAGGGAGAAGCAGACTCCTGGCTGAGCAGGGAGCCCGATGTGGGACTCGATTCCGGGACTCCAGGATCATGACCTGAGCCGAAGGCAGTCGCTTAACCAACTGAGCCACCCAGGCGCCCCCTAGATGTGACTCTTGAAAAGAAGAGACAATTTCAAAGCAGCCCGGACATGGCATTTTTCACATATTGGCAACAGGGGTGAGGGGAGCAGGCCGTCCTGGGGCATTGCTGACAGGGTGGGGACATCAAGAAGCACAACCCTGAGTGGGGAAAGGGGGTATTGGTTCTCTAAATGACACAGGCACATGAGCTTGGACATAGAAATCCCACTGCTGGGAACCGGGCTTGGCTTCCCTGTGGCCCCATCCACGAGGGAACTGAACAGGGCGCAGGATGGGCTTATTCACTGTGGCTTTATTTGGAAGGGCAAACGTTCGCAAGCCACTCAGGCATAGGGGGCTGGGGAGATAAACTGTCGGTAGACCGTGTGGTGGAGTAGTATGCAGCTGCGCAAAAAAAGAGGAAGTTCCTGTGTCCCCAAAAGAGAATGAGCTCCAAGGTGTGCTGTCAAGTTGAAGGGAAGGGGAGGTATGCCCAGAGTGAGTGGCAGCCATCCCTGGTGTTAAGGAGCAGCAAGGCAGGGGAGGGATGCCTGTGTTGCCACATAAAGGAGAGGAAATGCAAAAAGTGACCGTATTAGCTGGTTGTGAGGACAGAAGCTGGGGCAGGGCTGCTCCGGGAGAGGGCAGGGGGCGAGCCGTCTCGATGGGCCTTCTTTTACTTTGGGCATTTTGCACGGCAAGTGTTACTATTATCAGAGGCCATACAGAAATAAAACGCAGGGGCAAACAAAACAAAACAAAAAGAACGAGGAAGGAAGAAAAGAAAGAGAACCGGCCCACTGGTCTTGGGATCAGCCAGTGTCGGGTTCCAATCCCAGCATGGCCCTGACTAACAGTGTGACCGTGGGGGACGCGGCTTGTCTTCCCATGAGCCCTCCTCACTTGGGTCTAATGAGGCCGTGAGGCATAAAGGACATTCCACCTTCATGGTGCCTGGGCAAAAGAAGCCTTTGGGGAAATAGCAGCTTTGCTTCTGACCTGGAGCATGTTTGAGCAGATTCTGGGCAGGTGAGGAGAGTCCCCGAACATTCCCGGTGGCCTGTGAAACCCCAGGCAAACCTCCCCAAAAGACTTCCACATTTCGGCCTGATAGCTGAGAGCTCAGTGCGCCAAGTTTGAGTCCTGGCTCTGTGACGTTTCTCCCTCTGTGCCTTTGGGTGCCAGACTTTGCCTTCATTTCCAGCTCTGTGAAATGGAACAGGTGCCTGGCACGCGGTGGAGGGGTCCCCTAAGAGACTCTCTATCTAGTTCGGTCCTGCTCCACACCCAGTGTAAAGATGAGGCAGGATCCCTGGGTGGCTGAGCTTTCTCTAGAAAGAATAAAGGCATTAACTCCTATAGGAGATGACCCCTAACTGGGCCTTGAAGGGTGAGTAGGAGTTGATAGATGGACACTCAGGACAGAGGGAACAGGCTAGGCAAAGTTTTGAGCGGGAAAACAGGCGGATGGGTGGAGGGGCGTTAGGAGGGGCTGAAGACCAACGGATTGGTGTGGCTAGAGCTGAGATGGGCAGGGCCTCAAATGCCAGGTGGAGGAGCTGGGACCTTCTCCTCAGGGTGCTAGGGAGCCATGGAGGGTGTGTGAGCAGGCCAGGGTTCTAGATAGCCGAAGGCTTATGGGAAGCCAGAGAGCATTTGGCTGTGGACCTCGTCCAGACCGCATGTGTGGGTAGTGGCTGGGTACAGGAAGGGAGGGCAGACAAATATTTGAAGAGTGAAGTAACCAGGACTGGAGGTTGGGGCTCAGGGAGAGGTCCAAGCAAGACAGACCTCCTCCCCCAGTCTGACCTTAAAGTCAAGGAGCTGGGCTCGGAGATGTGAATTCCATTTAGGGGCAGGGTCGGGGGGATGTGTGCTGAGGTTTGAGGTTTACACCAGCTCTGCAAATTCGTGTTCGCAGCAGGTGGTTAGAGGTAAGCACTGGATGTCTGACGGGTTTCTTGCCCTTTTATTTCTTAAAACAGCTCTATTGAGATACGTGTACACACCATAAAAGACACCCCTTTGAAGCGTACAATTCAACACATTTTAACGTGTTTATAGAGTTGTACACCCATCACCACGATCTAATTTTAGAACATTTCCATCACCCTAAAAAGAAACCTCATGCCTATTTACAGTCATTCTCTCTACCTCTTAAATGGACTCATAAAAGTCTTACCTCCAATAATCCGTTTTACAGTTTAGGAAACTGAGGCTCAATTTCTAAACCTATTCCAGAGGCAAAGTCACTCACGTACAGCTCATAGCAGCGAAGCCCCAAAGCTAGGTGTCAGCCCCTGACACTTTTAACAGTCTTGCCAAGAAACACTAAGATCCCGCCCTGGGAAGCCTTCGCGGGGGGTGGGGTGGGGGGGTGGGGGTGGGGTGTCTCAGTGCTGAATCACAGCTCACCGGGACTCTGCTGTCAGTTTTCACCAGCTGCCCAGGCTTGAAATTCTCTTACCTCCTGTGGAGCGGAGACCCTGGCAAAAACAAAGCCCACGTGTTGTGTTTTCAGGGGATATTCAGAGTTTCATTTTGAGTGTCTGTGGGTTGTTCTTGCATGTTTAACATTTCAGGGGATCACACGGCCCATTCGGGAACTTCTTTCCCTTAAAAGGGGGCTTCTGAAAGGCCTCGAATCAGTGTGGGTGGCTCGACCTTATTCTTCTATGAATATAGACAGCCTACTGTGTACCAGCGGAGCGTCAGGGGGCAAAGACCCCCGCCCTCCCAGGCTTAACTTCCGGGGTGGGGGACATAGAGGAGAAACAAGTTAACTGAGTAGATGTGTCACCTTCGGATATCAGACAGTGAGCGATGCTTTGGAGAAAATGAAGTCCAAGAAGAGGAGAAGGGGGAGCAGGGGGCTTTTAAAAACAATCTCTACTGGACCGGGCAGCTTAAATTTCCTGTATTTATTTTACGGGACTCCTGGTGATAGATTTTCAGGTGCTTTTCCGCTTTTCACTCTCAGATGCTGCAGTGAATAAATTGCTTTTGCCCCCTTCACAACCTCCTGGGGACTTCCCACCGGTTTATCCCGAAGCTCTTAACATTCCTGTCTGGCTTAGGTGGTTTGGGGAGTGTTTGTCAAGAGTGGAGAGCGGCGGGGCTCCTGGGACAGGTGCAGCCGGCGCCCCAGCGCCCCCTGCGGGCGGACAGCCTGTCCCGCTCACACACCACCACCCCGCCCCCTTAACACCCAGGGTTCCCGGAGCGAGTGGAGCTGTTACCCCTACCCCGCTGGCAGCCCGTGGGCGAAAACTTCACTCTGCGCTGCCGGGTGGCCGGCGGGACGCCCCGGGACAGCCTCTTCGTGGTGCTCCTCCGCGGGGAGGAGGAGCTGAGCCGGCAGCCGGCCCCTGTGGAGCCCGCCGAGGTCGAGGTCACGGTCTCGGTGCTGGCGGGCAGAGACAACCACCTCGCCAATTTCTCCTGTCGCACGGACCTAGACCTGAGGCCCCGAGGGCTGGGATTGTTCCAGAACATCTCGGCCCCCAGGCAGCTCCGAACCTTTGGTGAGGCACTGGGGAGCCGCCAGAGAGGATGGGTTCAGGGGGTGTTCCTGCTTGGGGTGCGGGCGGGGGGGGGGAGGCCTCTGGTCGTGGGGGTGCTCAGGTGGTGACCTAGATTACAAATGCTCCTGGAAAGAGCATGTTCTTGGCCATAGGGGTGGGGTGGTCTGGGATGAGGTTCCCCAGCTGTAGGATCTTCTGAGAAGGCTGTACCCCGGCGTGGGTCCCGGGACAGGGGTGACCCAGGCCAGAGTCTCTGGGAACCAGAGGATGTCCCAGATGGGGGGAATGAAAATGCCCCAGAAAGGGGCTTCAGGTTGCTTGTCCCCTCTCTGTTCACACCCACCCTCTCTCCCCAGTCCTGCCAGAGACCCAGCCATGCCTTGGTACCCCCAGGATCATAGAAGTGGGCACACAGTGGGCTGTGAACTGCACTCTGGATGGGCTGTTCCCAGCTGCGGAGGCCAAAGTCAGCCTGACGCTGGCAGAACAGAAACTGCCCTCTACATCCCTGTACAGCAAGGACTCCGTCTTGGCCACGGCCAATGTCAAGGCAAACGCAGCACAGGAGGGCACCCAGGAGCTGGCGTGTGTGGTGACCCTGGGAGAACAAGACCGGATATGGAAGGAGGATGTGACCCTCTACAGTAAGTCAAGACGGGGCCGTGCTTCCGGGGGGGTTGGGTGGGGGGCCCAGTCCTGGGGGGCGGTGCTCACTGTGTGCCCTCCCCCTCCCAGGCTTCCCCCCGCCCAGCCTGACCCTAAGTGAGCCAGAGGTCTCAGAAGGGACTGTGGTGACTGTGGAGTGTGAGGCCCAGGCTGGAGTTGTGGTGTCGCTGAGCGGGCTGCCACCAGGGCATCCAGCACCCAGGGCACAATTCCAACTAAATGCCAGCGCTGCGGACCACAGGCGCAGCTTTTCGTGCTCTGCTGCTCTGGACGTGGCTGGACACTTGCTGCACAAGAACCAGACCCAGGAGCTCCGCGTCCTGTGTGAGTGGGGCCACTGGAAAATGACCCCTAATCCCCAAGACCCAACCCCTAAGACCCCATGAGCTCCTGCCCTCTGAGGGCCCCCTCCAGCCCTCTCTCCGGATTCCGGAGCCCTCCAGTCCCAGGTGGTGGGGGGGGGGGTCCTCCTAGTCCGTCACCCCCTCCCTCATCTTGCTCTGTTTCTCCAGATGGTCCCCGACTAGACCAGAGGGATTGCCCGGGAAACTGGACATGGAAGGAAGGCTCCCAGCAGACCCTGCGGTGCCAAGCTTGGGGAAACCCGGCTCCTGAGCTGAAATGTCACCGGAAGGGGGATGATGCTTTGCTGCCCATCGGGGACCTGAGACCTGTCAAGCGGGAGGTTGCGGGCACTTACCTGTGTCAGGCCCAGAGCCCCCGTGGTGTGGTCACCCGCGAAGTGGTCCTGAACGTGACCTGTGAGTGTGCCGGTGTTTGGGGCTGGGAAGGGCAGGGGCAGCGAGCCTGGCTCAACCCTCATCACACCCTGTGTCCTCCCCACAGACGACCAGAATAACATGGTCATCATCATTCTGGTGGCGGTTTTTGTCACCTTCGGAGCTCTGAGCGGAGCCGCTTACCTCTATAACCGCCAGCGGAAGATCCAGAAATATAGGCTACAGAAGGCCCAGGAGGCTGCTGCTATGAAGCTGAACACACCAGCCACGCCTCCCTGAACCTGGGCCACGACCCGGCCTCCCCCTCAGCACCCCGCACGGTGGCAGCCGTGCCCCGTTGAACAACAGTGGTCACAAGCCATGCAGCTCCACCCCCCTTCCCAGGATGCCTGAGGACAGGCTAGAGGCCTCAGGGCACAGACAGCATTTGGGGTCCTGGCACCTGCGCGGTTAGGATCCCCAAGCCTCACACCTGACCTGGAGCCACAGGACTGAGCCACAAAGAGGGGGCAGGACTTGGGGCATGACTGTGAGGGATGTCAAAGCCTGCCCTGTCTTGGGGGGGGGTGTGGCGGGACACTCAACATGGGACGACACCCAGCTGGGAAACAGTGAAACCCACCCCTACTGCGTGTGCTGAGGCCCTACAGCCCTAAGAGAGAAGTAACCTGCACAGACAAGCAGCATGGAAACACATGCCCCCATACTCCCCTCTGACAGATGCCAGGTCCAGCCCTGCTGTCCACGGACTGTCCCCAACTCTCGATGATGACGTATTTATTCATTTGTTCTTTTACCAGCTATTTATTGGGTGCCTTTTATGTGGGCTAGAATGGTAAAGAAGAGGAGCATGAGTTCCTGTCCTCAGGGAGCTCTCAGTCTAAACCTCATTCAGGGTTGCCAGGTACAGTTGCACAGGAGTGCCTGGCAAAAAAAGATCAAGTGGGGCTGGAATTTCCCATTCCATTAGCTAAGCTGCTTTCCTCCAGAAGGGGACTGGCACTGGTGATACGGTTTAGTTGGTGACATGCCCAGGGACAACCCACTGGGCCCGGACTCCTCCCACCATCACTGGCACTGACCTCTGTCAGCACCCCCTCTGCCCATATGCCTCTCTGCTAGTGCTCACGGTGACACCGTGGCATGCCTAAACATGAATGCCCACTCATTGGCAGCTAAACCATGGAGTCCCATGAAACCGTGTCCAACCTCTGTGTCCCCGCCTTGTCCTGTTTCCATCTCAGGGGGACAGAGCCCGAACAGAGCACTCTGGCAGCCCCAAGTTCCTGCAGAGATGAGGGCTCTGCAGGCAGTAGGGAGGAGAGGCCTGGGAAGATCCCCTCCCAGTTCTGGAAGCCTCTCTCTCTTGTGCTAATAAAGCTTCTTCATGTGCGCCTGCCTTGTTTGAGTTGAGGGGAGGTGTCCCATCCAGTAGGAGCCCTTTCCAGCCCTGTCCTCCCACTTCCTCCCCCGAGAAAAGGCTGCCGGTTCAAGGCCCAACCCCGAGGCTCTAATCCAAATCTGGGGCGTGTTAGGACCTTTTGAGACTCAAGCGAAAATTAAAGATTCCTCTCCAGAAAACTCTCTGACTCTCGCTTTACATAAGTCTGGAACCTCATTCTTGAGCTGAGGGAGGGGCTGAGGGGCTTATATACTGCAGGCTCCCAGGCCCTGGAGGGGCCTCCGTCCCTCTGGGTGGGGCTGCGGAGGCGGGGCTGCCGGCCTCCTTATCTCCAGAGCCAGCCTTGGCTCCCTGGCGCTCGGCCCCTCAGTCTGGGCCCTTTGCCATGGGGTCTCTGCTCCCCCTCTCGCTGCTGCTTTTGCTGGCGGCCGCCTACCCGGGAGGCGGGAGAGCGCGTCGGCGCCGGGGAGCGCGGGCCCAAGGCCCGGGAGGCAGCTCCCCGGCGCCCTCGGAGACCTCAGCGCCGTTCTGGGTGCGCGTAAGGCCCGGGTTCAAGGCGGTGCAGCCGGGGGGCTCAGTGTGGCTCAACTGCAGCACCAGCTGCCCCCTGCCAGAGAATTCCAGCCTCAGCACTGGGCTGCAGCGGGGCCAAATGCTCAGTGGGCCCGGCTGGGTATCCTACCAGCTGCTGGACGTGAGGGCCTGGAGCTCCGAGGTGCGCTGCTTCGTCACCTGCGCAGGAGAAACACGGGGGGCCACGGCCAAGATCACCGCCTACAGTGAGGGACGGGGGTCCAGGCCTTGCTGGGGTGAGGGGAGGGGGACGGGGCGGGTGTTTAACAGACGCGCTAGGGGGCGCACGCGGACCTGGCTCAGAGGTCCCCTCTTGCTTTAGAACGGCCGCAAAGCGTGATCCTGGAGCCTCCGCTCTTGGTGGGCAATGAATACACTCTGCGCTGCCACGTGACGCACGTATTCCCCGTGGGCTTCCTGGTGGTGACTCTGAGGCGCGGCGGCCGGGTCATCTACTCTGAGAACCTGAAGCGCTACACCGGCACTGATCTGGCCAACGTGACGCTGACTTACACGTTGCCCGCCAGGCCCCGCGACTTCTGGAAACCGGTGACCTGCCACGCACGCCTCAGTCTTGATGGCTTGGTGGTCCGCAGCAGCTCGGCACCCATAACGCTGACAGGCCTCGGTGAGGCACCTTTGTAATCCTGGGCCCCTGAGATGGGGAGGGGCAGGGTGTGACGCCAGTAGGATGAGCGAGTCGAGCGGGAGCTCCAGGCGGGTGGTCATGTCTCCCTGTGCCCCGGTCCTAATTCTCACCTCCTGTCCCCAGCTTGGCGCCCTGCGCCCAAAGCCTTGGCCTCCACCTCCATCGCAGCCTTAGCGGGGATCCTTCTCGTCGTGGGGGCTGCCTACCTGCGAAAACGGCCATTGGTGCAGACAGAACCGGAGTAAAGAGAGGAGGGTCTCTGCCGGCTGAGCCGGAGGAAAAAGGAATCTGGGACAATTGGGGGGAACCCTGACTGATTCAATAAAGTCCTCCTTAGTCAGCCTCTGCCTCGCGGCCTAAAGGTCCCCCCACGAGCGTACCTCCTCTGAGGAGGTGGTCTTCTTTTCTGGCCTTGCCTCAGTCACTTTCTCTAAGTGCCGGTCCCTCCGCATTCCCAGCCAAGTGTGGTAATATACCCCCCTGCGGGCGTTATCAGTGGGGTGCAAATGAGCATAGCTTGGGCACTGGAGGGCTTTGGGCCGTACGAGGCTTGGCTCGCAGGTCGGTTTTCCCCCCATTGGCTCCGCCGCGCCACGCAGCAGCTCTGATTGGATGTTAAGTTTCCTTTCCCATCCCCCCCCCGCCCCTCCACCTCCGACCCAGCACTTTCCGGGAGGACAGGGGTGGAGCGAGAACTGACCCCCACAGTTCACCGTTAGCGCTGGCGCTGAGAGCGCAAATGGACGGGGTCACATGACACAGGGACGGAGATGTGAAGAAAAGGTACCCATGATGTGACTGCGGGGAGGGAACAATCAGAGGGCCCATGTGGGGTGTCACAGACTCGCGTCGTGGCAACGTCTTGATAATCACCGGGCCTGGGGGGCACATGCGGGGGGGGGGTGTCAAAGCCCGGGGCCCGGATGCAGGGTCGAAGTGTCATAGTTGGTCTCTCGGTCTCGCGTGGACACAGAAGCCGAGCCCGCACTGGATGTCTGGGAGGACCGGTGCGGTCCAGGGCCCCGCCCACCGCGCCGAAAGCGGATTCAGGGGCGCTCCTCCGCCGCTTGCGCTCACACACGCCGCGTAGACACGTGCCCGCTGCACGCTGGGTAAATACAGACCCAGAGCAGAGCCGACCCTAATTTAGACGCCCGCGAACGCTGCGCGCACGCACACGTGTTCCCGACTCGCTGGCACTTAGGTCCCCACCCCCTCTGTCGCGTGCGGGGGCGGAGCCGGAGGGGGACTAGGGGCGTGGCTACAGCCCTCAGCTCGCCGGCTCAAAAGGAGAAGGATCAGTGAGGGAGGCATCCCCACACCCTTTCCTAGAATTGTGCCTTCCCCCATCCTGCTCTACAGCTCTCTCCTAGCCTTCAAACCAATCCCCTGCCCAAGGGGCGCGGGAGGGGGTGGGGGAACTAACTATGGGGGCGGGGCTCTGAGTCCAGCTCATTACCACAGCATCCAAGCTAGGGGTAGGGCGGGGGCGGTTGAGAAGGGCAACCCAGCATCCCCCGACCTCGGCTTCGCCGCCGAGGATGACGCGGGAGCGCGCGGCCGCCCCCAGAAGGCTCGGGGAGATGGGGCGGGCCTCCACGTAGACCCCGGGGGTCGCTTGCTCCTGCCAGCACGCCTTCGCCGAGACCGAGAGCCTGGAGCACGCTCGCCCTCCCGCCCCCCAGCCGCCTCTGCCGCCGCCCCCTCCTTGGAAACCAAGTTACCAACGTTAAACCAATCCCGGAACGCAACTCTGCCTCCTCCACAACCCACCCGCCGCGCCGTCCTCTAGCCCAGCTCAGCGCTCGCGCTCTCCTCGCCTCCTGCGCTTCCCCCGCGGCGGCGATGCCAGGGCCCTCGCCGGGGCTGTACCGGGCATTGCTCGGCCTCTGGGCTGTCCTGGGCCTGGGGCTCTTCGGCCTCTCAGGTAAGAGCCGGGTCCTGGCTCAGGGTGGACAGGGCGGGGGCGGAGTTCCGGGACCAGATAAGCGGCCACAAGCCCCTCCCGGCTCCGCCCTCGTCTCGCTCTACTCCCACGCTTCTGCCCCACCTTGAGCCCGGGCCTTGCCCTCTACCCCTCTTCCCACCAACACACACTGGAGACCCAGCTCCCAGACTCCTCGCTCGCCCAGGTTTCTACCCTGCCCTCGTCGAGATCCTGGGTGCTCTTCCGCACCCATCTCATGCCCTGGAGACCCTGTGTCTCCCTTGTCCCTTTCCGGGGCACCTCTCCACGCTCTGTAATGCTCCATGGTCCACGGACTGACATGCCCCTCAGTCGTGGTCCGGAAAGACCCGATCTCCCCAACTGCTGTGACTCAGAGGCGCTATTCCCGCTCCATCCGGAGCCCTGGCAACCGAGTCCCTCCGCTGTTACCGCGGTTCCTTCCGTGAGCTCCAGCCTCGAGTCTTCTTTCGTGTTCTTCTCCCGGGTTTGGGGTCCTCACTTATCCTTGAGTCAGCCTCATCTCTCCTTTGCCCTCACCTCAACCTGTCTCCCCCTCTCTGGCAAGAACCCTGAGAACCAGTTCGTTTTTCTTCCTCCACACGAAGTCCCCTCTTCCCATCATTGCTGTGTGCGTCAAAGACCCCGTCTTTCATCTCATCCCCCTCCCCCCATGCTTTCCCATCACTCCATTGGCACCTTGGAGACCAGGGCTCTCTGCTGCCATGTCCCAGAGAAGCCCTCAAGGTTTGAACCCTGGGAGCGCGCCTCCAAACCTGAGGCCGGGGCGGGACGCGAAACTCCTCTGAGTTCTTCCTTGGCTGTGGCCTCTGCTAATTCCCCGAGAATCCCTGATTCGACATAGGGGCACTAAGATCCCAGGAAGGTGGCTCCCCAGGCTGAGCCCACGTTTCCCTGGTCAGCGGTCGCGCAGGAGCCCTTTTGGGCGGACCTGCAGCCCCGCGTGGCGCTCGTGGAGCGCGGGGGATCTTTGTGGCTGAATTGCAGCACCAACTGCCCACGACCTGAGCGCGGTGGCCTGGAGACCTCGCTGCGCCGGAATGGGACCCAGAGGGGCTTGCGCTGGCTGGCGCGGCAGCTGGTGGACATCCGCGAGCCGGAGACCCAGCCGGTCTGCTTCTTCCGCTGCGCGCGGCGCACACTGCAGGCGCGTGGGCTCATTCGCACTT